TCAGGTAAGTGAGGGATGGGGCAGCCTATAGATCAGGTAAGTGAGGGATGGGGCAATCTATAGATCAGGTAAGTGAGGGATGGGGGCAGCCTATAGATCAGGTAAGTGAGGGATGGGGGCAGCCTATAGATCAGGTAAGTGAGGGATGGGGTGAGAGAAAGCCTATAGATCAGGTAAGTGAGGGATGGGGAGAGAAAGCCTATAGATCAAGTAAGTGAGGGATGGGGGGAGAAAGCCTATAGATCAAGTAAGTGAGGGATGGGGGAGAGAAAGCCTATAGATCAGATAAGTGAGAGATGGGAGGTGCAGCATACAGATCAGGTAAGTGGGAGATGGGGGATCCACCTACAGATCAGGTGAGTTAGAGATGGGGGGATCCACCTACAGATCAGGTAAGTGACGGATGGGGGGTGGTAGCCTACAGGAATGGACAGCAAGGAGCAGGAAGGTAAAGTAAGAGAGCAGAAAGGAGAAGGAACAGAAATGAGCAGAAAGGAGCAGCAATGAGCTGGAAAGGACAGCAAGGAGCACAAAGGAACATAAGTGAGCAGGAAGGGGCAGCAAGGAGCTGGAAGGGGCAGCAAGGAGCAGGAAGGGTCAGCAAGGAGAAGGAAGGGTCAGCGAGGAGAAGGAAGGGTCAGCAAGGATCAGGGAGGTAACTTGCAGGAAGGATCAGCAAGGAGCTGGTAGGTAAAGCAGCACAAAGGTAAAGTAGAAGGAGCAGAGAGGGTCAGAAAGGAGCTGGAAAGGGCAGCAAGGAGCAGGAAGGGACAGAAGGAGCACAAAGGTAAAGTAGGAGGAGGAACAGAAATGAGCAGGAAGGGACATCAAGGAGCAAAAAGGGTCAGCAATGAGCTGAAAGGGGCAAAAGAAGCACAAACGTAAAGTAGGAGAAGGAGCAGAAATTATCAGGAAGGGTCAGCAAAGAGCAGGAAGGGTCTGCAAGGAGCAGAAAGAAGCACAAAGGTAAAAGAGCAGAAAGAATCAGAAGGAGCACAAAGGTAAAGAAGGAGAAGGAGCAGAAAGGGTCTGCAAGGAGCAGAAAGTGATCAGAGAGAGAAATGAGCAGAAGGGTGCCAATTAATCAGAAAGTAGCAGAAAGGTAAAGGAGCAGAAGGAGCCAAGGAGGAGAGAAGACAGTGTCAGAAGAAAAAGAAGACTGTGTCAAATGAAGGAGAAGAAAAGGAGATTGGAGCAGGAAGGACAAGTGAAGTGAACCCTCCACTTTATTCTGGATACCACATCATAAGGCGTTGGTACCTGAGCCTGGCAGGGAAACTTTGGACCTCCTCATCTTCCCAGGTAAAAAAAAAATATCAGTGTTAATGTGTTCACTTTTATTTACTGAGTGTCAGGAAGCATAGAGTGCCACTGGGTAGGGGTGTCGCTGATTGGCTAGAGTGGTCAGTCGGCACTGTAAGCCAATCAGTAAAACATTTTTATGAACCAGGAATTAGCAATGGCTAAGAGCATCAACTGACCACTCTAGCCAATCTGCAGCACCCATCCCTGACGTCAGTCTGCACTTCCCTACACTCCGTTTCAAAAGCCGAATACCACTGAGTGACCAGGAGATCTGGAGCTGGAGGAAGCCTTTGGGGTTAAACCATTTGAGAGTGGTATAACCCCTTACAGGAAAGTGAGCACCCAGAGGCTTCCTGGCAATATAGCATTTTCATTTAGATGAAGTTGTTATGGTGACAACAATGGTCCTTTAATTTGCTTAAAGGAGCACTATATTGTCAGCAATTCAAACATGTATTCCTGACACAATAGTTATGAAAACGCTATTCACCTTGGCTTTATGTGATAATGACTATGCCCCTTCCCTTTCATGACACTGTCAAAAAGGGACCAAGCATGGATGTCATTACAATTATGCCCCCCCTCCCCCTGGAAAAATGCTCATAGACTGGTGGTAAAATTAGGATATGGAAAGTGTTAAAATACCACCATTTGAAATACCCTAGGGTGTCTCATTTACAAAAATATATGGTTTGATGGGGGTAAATTACATTGGCCGGATTCAAAAATGTCCCAAATAGGACATGGGTGCATGATGACCAGCTGTGAAAATTCCAAGTTGGAAAACTGGAATGCAACCCTCCAAATAAGGTCTTTTAGCCCCAGAGAACCCAACACACCTATAAATGGGTGGTATCACTGTATGGAAGTATTGCTGAACACATATTGGGGTGTTCTTTGGCAGTAACCCTTAAAGTTCTCCCTTGCATGTATTCTTAAATTGCTATGTGTGTCCAAAAAAATCACAAATAATTTTTTCTTTTTTTTAATTTGGCATAGATTGGTGGTAAAATTGTTGCATGAAAAGAGGCAAAATACCCCAAGTTTAATACCTTAGGTTGTCTTCTTTTAAAAAATATATGCATGTGAAGGGTTATTTAGGGAATCCTGACAGATATCAGTGTTACAATGTAACTTTGGTTAATTTTGGGGAAAAAAATGGTTTGGAAATAGCAAAGTGCTACTTGTGCTTATTGCCCTATAACTTTCCAAAAAAGCTAAGAACATGTTAACATTGGATATTTCTAAACTCAGGACAAAATTTAGAAACAATTTAGCATGGATGTTTTTTGGCGGTTGTAGATGCATAACAGATTTTGGGGGTCAAAGTTTGAAAAAAGTTTTGTTTTT